TTTTTTTTTTTTTAATTTTTTTTTTTCAACGTTTATTTATTTTTGGGACAGAGAGAGACAGCATGAACAGGCGAGAGGCAGAGAGAGAGGGAGACACAGAATTGGAAACAGGCTCCAGGCTCTGAGCCATCAGCCCGGAGCCCGACGCGGGGCTCGAACTCACGGACCGCGAGATCGTGACCTGGCTGAAGTCTGATGCTTAACCGACTGCGCCACCCAGGCACCCCGTCTCTGGTCTCACTTTAAATGAAGGAGTGTGGTGGATGGCACAGGCCCAAGTGATTGACATCTTGCGACTCAAGCGCTCCGTGAGTCGTGGAATGTGAGAATTTACCCGCATACTCTGCTTCTCCTGCAGTTTGGGGATAAACTGTCTGGCTCCTATCTAAGGCAGACACCTTCACTGGCCTCTAGATCCCATCCCCTCCCTCCAGTAAGCTCTCTCCTCTCTCCTGTATCATCTGTATTTCCCTGTTTGCTAAATCACCACAGCATATAAGTGTATTTAAACATGCTACAATTCCACCCATCTTGAAAAGAGTCTCTCCTGGGACGCCTGGGTGATTCAGTTGGTTGAGCATCCAGCTCTTGATTTCAGCACAGGAGAAACCCTCCGTGGGTCATGAGTTCGAGCCCCTGCACCATCATGTTGATAGTGCAGAGCCTGCTTGGAATTCTCGCTCTCCTTTCTGCCCCTCCTCTGCTCTCCCCTACACGCACACTCTCTCTCAAAATAAATAAATACGCATTAAAAAAAAAAAAAAAGAGTTTCTTCTGACTCTACTTCCCCTCTAGCTTATCTCTCTCAAACTCATTTTTTTTTCTTTTTTCTTAAGTTTATTTATTTTGACAGACAGAGAGCATGAGCAGGGAAGGGCAGAGAGAGAGAGAGAATCCCAAGCAGGCTCCGCACTCGAACTCCCAAACGGTGAGATCATGACCTGAGCCAAAACCAAGAGTTGGCAGCTAACCGACCGAGCCACCCAGGCACCCCTCTCAAATTCATTTCGATCACTGCACACCTCTACCCAAACTGCTCTTTGTTAAGGTCAGCAATCCTCCCCACCCCCGCCCTTGTGGTTAATCCTAAAGGTCATCGTTAGTCTTCATCTTACTTGACCCACCGAGGATCAGCTGACCACTTCTTCTCCTTTTAACACTTGTTTCTCTTGGCTTCCGAGGCACTGCATTTTCTTGGCTATTCTTTAGGGTGGGTTCTTTCCATCTCTTTCACCTCTACACGTTGGAGGGTCCTGGGGCTCAATCCTTGTATCTGTACCCAGTCTTCACCAATCCGTTTGGTGATCTCATTCAGTCTCATGTTAAATGCCATGGGGCTTAGCCTAGGTTCCTCTAGAAGCAGAACCTTCATAAAAGGTTTGCATGCAGGTAGTTTATATGGGAATGAAATTCCAGAGAGCAGAAATGAGGGACAGGGTGACAGAAACAGAGAAGAAAGGATAAACCAATTCAAGTGCATTATTGAGCACTAATGAGTGACAACCACTATGGGATACTGACGCTTTTCTCCACACAACCTTCTAAGGAGATTCAGAACCGGCTGTTAAGGGATAAAAAGGGATCCACATTTATCCACCAGCTTCTCTTCAACATTGGTTGAGGGCGGCCCCATGAGTGTCAACTCCCCCATCAACTCAACTCTCTGGGTTATACATAATATGGCGGTGCTGAGTGAGTTTCCATGATTGTCCTACAGCCAACTTTGTACCGGAAGCAAGAAATACACAGAGAGGCAGGGGTGAGGCACGGTCAGTTTGTACCCATTGCAAATCTGGCCAATACCAACTGCACGACATCAAGCTGGGAGAAGAAGATAAGGCCAAGAGAATTTAAGGAAGTGTCTGATACATCATCTATACCTAGACGGCCCTCACCTTTATCTCTCTAGCCTGGACCTCCCCCTTAAACTCCAGACTCATGTCTCCACTGCTTACTCCAAACTTGCACTTGATTGTCTCCTCAAAACCTGCTCCAGTTGTAGTCTCCGCCATCTTCATTAATGGCAACTCTTATCTTCCCAAATGTTCCTTCCTTCCAAGGCAAAGACCTTGGAGACATGCTTGAGTCAGCACTACATACAATCCATCAGTAAATTATGCTGGCTTTACGTTCAAAATATATTCAAAATCTGACCACTTCTTTTTTTTTTTTTTTTCAACGTTTATTTATTTTTGGGACAGAGAGAGACAGAGCATGAACGGGGGAAGGGCAGAGAGAGAGGGAGACACAGAATCGGAAACAGGCTCCAGGCTCTGAGCCATCAGCCCAGAGCCCGACGCGGGGCTCGAACTCACGGACCGCGAGATCGTGACCTGGCTGAAGTCGGACGCTTAACCGACTGCGCCACCCAGGCGCCCCTGACCACTTCTTATTTATTTATTCACTTATTTACTTATTTATTTAAATGTTTACTTATTTCTGACAGAGAGAGAGAGAGACACAGAGAGAGAATGAGCAGGGGAGGGGCAGAGAGAGAGAGGGAGACAACAGAATCCAAAGCAGGCTCCAGGCTCTGAGCCGTCAGCACAGAGTCTGATGCGGGACTCCAGCTCATGAACTGTGAGATCGTGACCTGAGCCGGAAGTCAGATGTTTAACCGACCGAGCTACCCGGGCGCCCCCAAACTCTGACCACTTCTAACCTCTGCTCCTTGTCCAAGCCACACCACCAGCCCTGGACTGGACTGCTAGCAACTATCTGCTAACCAGTCTCCCTGATTACTCGCTTATCCGCTTACTGTCTATTCTCCACTCCAGCTAGTGAGCCTTTTTAAATACAAGTCAGATAATGTCCCTTCTGGGCATTTCCTTTCCCCCTCCCTGCTTTATATTTCTCCTTCACCCTTATCACTATCTGACATAATATATATACTTCGTGTATTTACATATTTACTTTGTCTATTGTTGTCTCCTTTTACTAGAATAACAGCAAGAATTTTTGTCTATTTCATCCCCAGTACCTAGAACGGTACCTGGTGCCTGGGGGGAACACGATAAATATTTGTTGACTAGAGACCATCTAGTTCAAGTCCATGCACTTTACAGATGAGAAAACTGTAGCCCAGAGATATGACCGTGCTAATTATACCTTTTTTGTTTTTGGTTTTGTTTTTTTGCAAGGCTTTCTTGACACCTTGCAAGTTCGGAATACTTTGTCTCCATTTTCAGCAACATTACCTGTTAGTTATTATTATGGATGTTGGCCCTCTAGCCAGTCTGAATAGCAGTTTGTAGTCAGGCTCAAATGTACCTCCACAAAATCACTAGAGAACAATTCCAGGGCATTGGAAGCTTAAGTAATCCAAGATCATACAGTATAAAGACAGCAAGCAACAATGCAGGGAATTCAAGGTGAGGAAAGTCTCTGGGGTGTTTTGAGAAGTGCAACATTGAGATCCCTGAAGCAGAAAGTGCGTATTTCAGGCTGGGTAGCAGCAGAAGTAAGGAGACAAAATTACTCATTCCAAGGTGCCTGGGTGGCTCCTTCA